TCTGAGTCCCTTAAAAAATTGTTTTTTATTTTTTTAATCATTTAAGATCTGCTTTCTCATTCTCCCACTCTAATCCCCGAATGTCAATTAAGAACACAAGAAAAATAAAAATTATTACAAACATGTATCCTCAATCAAAGCAAATTTCCACATGGGCCATATCCTAAACATACATGCATGCATGCATGTATGTGTATGTTTATTATATATATAGATCTCTATTTTTCATTCTACAGGGTTAAGTGGTTAAGGAGGTGGCAGTTTTCACCTTTAGTCCCCTGGAATCCTGTTGGGCATTATGCTGGTAAGAGCTAAACATTACAGTACTCCATCACATTTATATAGCATAATTTGTTCATTCATTCCCCAATTTATGGGCACCCCCTCAGATTACCATTCTTTGCCACCTAAAACACAATTATAAATATTTTTGTACATTTTTACAGTTTGCTCTGCTTAGGATTAATTCATCTCTTAATCCACCCTCCCGCTACTTCTCCCCCTTTTCCCCTTTATCTCATCTCCCTGTTGGGTGAAATGTAATTCTGTACTCAACTGTGTGTGTCTAAGTCTGTGTCTGTGTATTCTTCCTTCTTTTGATCAGTTCAGATGAGAGTGAGGTTCAAGTGTCAGTAGCTCCGCTCCCTCCTTATTTGTACAGATGCATATTTGTGCACCCTGATTATGTGAGATAATTTCCCCCTTTTTCCATTCTTTCTAAAGGTCATCAAGACTTAACAGAAACACATTCCCAAGCCTTGTCTAATTGGATTCCCTTAATGATGTGGGAGGAAAGGGGGGGTTGAAAGGGGACACATACCATTTCTCCACTTCTGAATGCAAGCAGTTTTTCTTTGTTTAGTCCTTTAGCATTGTTCATTCACATTTACCTTTTTATGTTTCTCTTCATACCTGTGTTTGAAATTCAGAGTTTCTCTGCAGCTCTTTGGTCTTTTCATTGGGAATGCTTGGAAGTCCTCTATTTCATCAAAGATCCATTTTTTACATATAGCATTATACTCAGTTTTACTGGGTATGTTATTATTGGCTATAAACCCATATTCTTTGCCTTCTGGAATATCTCCAAGCCCTTGGTTCTTTTATAGTGGTAGGGCTACTAAATTATGTGAGATGCTATATGGCTCCATGGTACTTGAACTCTTTTCTTCTGGCCTCTTTCAGCATGTTTCCTTTTACCAGGAAGCTCTGAATTGTGGCTATGATGTTTCTGGGAATTTTCATTTGGGGGTTTCTTGAAGATTTTTTTCTTTTTCCACTGTCCTCTGGTTCTAAGAGATCTAGGCAGTTTTCTTTTAAGATTTCTTGAAATATGATATCTAGGCTCTTCTCTTGTTTTGGTAATGGTATTCAGACAGTCCAACGACTCTTTCCCCTACAATTGATCTTTCAGGTCAGTTGTTTTTACTGGGAGATATTCTACATTTTCTTCCATTTTTTCAGACTTTTGACTTTGTTTTTCTATTTACTGTCTGTTATCTCATGAAGCCACTGGTTTCCACATGGTCCATTCAAATCTTCAGAGAATTCATTGCTTGAATAATATAGTTCTTGTGCCAAAGTGCTAATTCCCTTTCAGATTCTTTTTTCCATGGCTCTTGACTTGTTTTCCATTTTCCCCTCAAGCACTTTCATTCCACTGATAAAAACATTAACCTTTTTTAAAATTCTGTTTTATTTTTTCCCAGAAAAATCTAGCCAAGTTTGAGCCTAAGATATGGTTTTCTCTGAGGCATCGATGGAATATGTTTTGGAGTCATTCTCCTGTTCTGTTTTTGTATCCTGAGCATCTCTGCTACCATAATAACTCATGGGATTCTTTTTTTTATTTACCCATTCTTCTAGACTCATTCTTGCCTTCAGACTTGATGATAGTTAGGGTGGGCTCTGCCACACTTCTGGAAGGAAGGACTGGGCTGGTCCTTTTGCTACTTTCTGGAAGGTATTTAGTGTTGTTACTCCAGAATCTCAAGGACAGATTGGGGATGTACAAGCTTTTGGTGCTCCCAAAGTGGCTGAAGCAGGACAAAGTTGGCCTGGTGACCCCCTGGTCTGGGCTCTCTGCAAATCCTAATGATACAAAGTGAGAGCTGCTCTGAGCTTGGGTGTCTGAACCAAATCTGAACCACTGCTGCTTGCTTCTGAACTTCCTCCTTTGTCCATACATAGTCCAAGGCCTCCCTCTCTGGGGACACCACTTCCTTGTGTAAGCTTCCTCCTCAATCTGCCAGGGATCTGTGAACTAGAGCTGGGTAGTGGGTGACGAAGCTGCCATTTGGCACATGTCCCAGTTGTAATGTCTTGTTCTGGGTCTAGGAGTGCCTTGGTATGAGTCTGGCATCTCCTCTTGCCCTGGTGCACAGCCTATCCCTGGACATGGGGGTGTTTCATTCAGGGTGCTCCTGTGTTCATAGACCTACCTGTCTGTCTCCATATGCTGAGCTTGGCTAAACAGATGATCCACTGTGACTTTCTCTGGATTCTCCATCAGAATTTGGTCTGGTAAATTTTTTAGGTCTGTTTGGAGAAGTTTTTGGAGGTGCACTTGCTGCACTGCTTCATTTTACTCCACCATCTTGGCTCCATTCCCTGGGCTTAGTTGTGAAGGAAACCAGGGAAATTAAGAGATGGAGGTGAGGTCGGAGCGAATTCCAAGCATGCGGGACAGCTAGTATAAAGGCACAGACACAAGAAACAGAATGTTGTGCCTGAGAAATAGCAATCTTTTCCAGCCTAACAAGCATCCTTCTGGTTCTGCCTTTTCAACTTGCATCAAATTCTTTCTAGATTTCTTCATACTTATTAATACTTTTCAGTCTTCATTATATTATAGAATGACATCACATCACTGTACTACAATTTATTTAACTCTCCTATTACTGAATATTTAGATTGCTTTAAGTTTAACTACATATAAAATCAATGACAGGCAGGTCTTTATTTTCATTTTTTTGATAACATTTTGACAATGAAGACTTAAGTGTTAGATACACTGAGATGACAAGAAGCATTCATTTATGAATAATTTCACAGAATAGAACTTTGATGCAATTTAAATTTTCTCTTAATAAATGTCTAACCACTATATAGAAACCACAGTTGTTATAGAAGATAACAAGGGCAGCAGTACTGAGAAGAATGCTCTAGCTTAAAGGACTTCAAGAATTTCAAGTACAGCCAATTGTAATTCTTCCCAATAGTATACCCTAAGTACTCCTGCATCTATCCTGTAGCTGAACTGTATGTTTTGTATCCTCAAATTAGAGGCGGAACTATCTTGCTTTTCTGTTTGTATTCCCAGCACACAGCACAGTGCCTGGCACAAAGTAAGCACTTGATAAATGCTTTTCCATTCCACTCTGTTCTTCATTTAACTTCATACCCTGTGGCTAACTAGGTACTGAAACTCAGACCTCACCTCCTTCTAGTCTACCTAAATTACCATGTGCTCTTGATTTAAACTAGCTTCTGTTCAGACATCACTACTATCCATTCAGTTCCACGATAAATCTTGCTACAGACTTTGGCTTTTGCTTCATATATGCTTACTGCCTGGATTCTCAGCTACCAAACTCTTTGCTTTCCTCATCCTTGCCCCAAGATTTGTAATGGAACTTCCCAAACTCTCATGTACCATAACTACTATGAAGGTGGAAGGGAGGTAAGAATTAATATAACAAAGACAGCTGTCAACAGAAATTCAAAGACTTACAGAATAACTGATCTTTTGCTAAATTCATTGCTATCACAATCTGCAAAGCTTTGGAAGTTGCTCTAGAATGAATTATCAAATGAGATCATATATGCAAAGTACTTTGCAAACCTGAAAGCACTATATTAATGATATATTATAAAAATAATATAGTCTCAAAAATATTCACATGCAACAAGTAAACCATGGCACACAGTCGTCTGGACATCCTCGAATAATAACCTGGAGTCCATCAGGCTGAAACCAGAAAGCAGTAAAGGAACTCAGGGAGGAAGAGTGAGAATACAAATCCATGTTCCTCTACCCCTTCAGAAAGGAAGATGAGAAAGAGAGTTGGTATTTACTCTCTTTTTGTTATTCTTGTCTATTTTAGAAATATATTCTCCTTAAAGGTAGGGCTATGTCTTGTTAAGTTTTTAGGAATACTTCTAGTCCACAGTCACCGATCAGAACAAATTATATGATTCTCTAAAATTCATCTAATCTACATTTGTCTTTTTCATTTTGGTCTAGACCTGTGATTTTATTAGCATAAATACTTTTGGTGGAGAATTTTCATCTGAAAATGGAGGCTGGCAAGTATTTCGCATTTTATAACTTAAGAGAATTGCCTGGTGTACTGAGAAATTAAGAGACTTGTCCAGGGTCAAAAATCAATAATCAATCAATCAATATTTACTAAGTTCCTCCTATGAGACAGGAACCATGCTAAGTGCTGTGATCACAAAGTCAGGATGAATGAGAAGTAGAATGTTAATGTGAGTGTTCCTGACCCAACCTCTAACCATCGCGTCATGCTGCCTCTCCACAAACTATAATTTTATGATATTTTATTTTTCTTTGAATAACCACTTCAAAAAAAAATCACCATTTGCTAGCTTACAAACACTCTGAACATTCTTTTTGGACTGCAGGGTAAGGTTCTTAAACTTCTTGGTGTCCTGGACCCTTTAGCATCTCTAGTGAAGCCTAGGTATCCCTTCTCAGAACCTTGTTTTTAAAGGCACAAAATAAAATATGCAAGATTTCCAAGGAAACCAATCATAATAAAGTAGATATCAAAACAGCAAGTTCATGGACCCTAGGTTAAGAACCCTTACTGCAGGATATTCTGCAAGACTGGTGCAATCACAAAAGAACTATCCTCATCAAGACATAAGTTACTGGGAAATAATTTAAGGCAAGAGATAATGTAACCCAACACTTACATAAAAGCACATTATCTTAAAAATATCAAATAATTTTCCTATGTTATACATAACACACTCACAGCCTCCTATCTTCTTCCTCAATTCTCCATAGCAGATTAACCCATAAAGTTCCTGGGATGATTTTTTCAGTCCTCGAGAAAACACTGAAAAACAAAAATAGAACAAAATTTTGCTAAGACAAAATACAAAAATGTCCTGTAGGTTAAATAGGTCATGTGGGGGGGTAGAAATAAAAGTTATCAAAAGTTTCAAACAGAGACAGTGAATGGTTAACCAACATAGCAAATATGTCATTATAAAGTTTGAAGAAAAAGTCTATTCCCAATGATGAGTCTTTAGAGGGCATATTTAAAATTAAATTTGGTTATCATCAAGTTTTTCTTTCCATTCCCTACTCAGAATTCCATATTAAAACAAAACAAACAAAAAACCTCTGCTCTCATAAAGATTCATTTGAGTAATACTGAGTATCTGAATTGCAGCAAACAGTTCTAGCCATATGAACTTAGGCTTCTCTTTTACTTGCTTTCTCATCAAATGTAACAGGAATCTCCAGGCAATCCAGCCAAGGTCAAGGCAGGAAAATGAAAAAAATAAGTATTACAACCCTTTGTTTCATCACACTACACACTAAGGAAGACAAATGTGTCACTGCCTCCCTTAACTCTTTAATACACTTATATTGACTATTTTCTCTCCATTTTCTCCAAGGGAATCATTCAATCCTAGATCATACTGCTCTATGTAAGGACACTGAAGGAAGGAGTAGCAAAGAGATGAAAGACAGGTGAATACCGGGAAAACCTGGCACAGCACACTAGGAAACATGTTAGGAATATCTGAAAGGAAACAGAAGACCATTAGAAAAGTAAGGAAAATATTACAAAGGTCAAAAAATACCATAAAGTCCAAAACAGGAAAAATGATGAGCTATTTTTAAAAACAGAAGAAAATTTTTATAAAATCAAGACATAATCCCTCTAAGTCAGAACTCTGTGGCTGCCTTTTCTCCTCTCAATAATCAGATAAACTGAAAGACTATTGCTGTGGACACAAGAAAGGGTGTGCCAGAGGATGACAGATGCTTTAAAAAGGTCACCATAATCAGTTTCCTGTCATCAACCCTGGGAACAACAGTATAGCAAACCAGATCATCATGTAAACACACTAACACGGTATGATTTCTTAGTTAATGTAAAATAAATGCATATGTTACCAGAAGCAAATTTGCTGTCAGAACAGGAAACTGAATAGCAGCTGATAGCAGTAATCATGCTACCCTACCTTAGTGTGTCACATACTGCTACAATACCTCACAAATATCTTGCTGATGATTTAATGTTAAGGTGAAAGTATACATGGCAATGCAATCTACCCCCTCTGGATGGACTGCTAGAGGTTTGTGACAGAAAAACAAAGCAGTAGAAGAAATAAAGACAAGCTCATAGAAAAAGGATTTACCCAGTCTTCACAGCATCAGGAAGGATTATCCATAGTTAGTCCCTGGCCTAAAATTCTCCCAAAAGGCTGTACTGATTTCTCATATAATCTCAGAAATTTGGGCCCCCTCCAGAAAAGGACTGTTGTGATCTCAGAAACAAATCTTTGGGTCTATCCTTGAATAAAACTAAATCCTTAGAGTGGCCAAAGACTCAAATAAGACTTTTAGGATGCTCCAGAATAAGAGTAACTGGTGGTTCAACTAGAATATCAAGAGTCTCTTTAGGGCAAAAATCCTGGACCAAAGAACACATCAACTCATTGAAATGGAACCAGAAAAGCTAGCAGTTATTATTACTATAAAAAATATTTGCATGTATTTTTCCATTTTTCTACTGTTTGTTTTCTTTGCACTTTGATCCTTAAATGCCCTCACAATTACTTGGTAAAAATTAGGTCTCTTAACCAAGCCTGATCTACTCCATCATATTTTATACAGTAATCCTCTTCACAGTTTTTCATTATTCTTCTGAGTAAGATTTCATAAAGAGGGGCAGCTAGGTGATGCAGTGGATAGAGCACCGGCCCTGAGGTCAGGAGGACCTGAGTTCAAATCCGGCCTCAGACCAAACGCTTGACACTTACTAGCTGTGTGACCCTGGGCAAGTCACTTAACCCCAATTGCCTAAAATGAAAAAAAAAAAGATTTCATAAAGAGTTCATATTTTAAATTGGTGTTGCCCTTGGATGCCATCTTTCTCCACTCAGCAAGTAAATTAAGTGTCTGCTAAGGCATTATTTAGGCTCTTTTGGTGTTTTTTGACTAAATTTCGATATGAAATTACTTAAATGTCTATCATTTCTTCCATCCATATTCCATTTTTTATCATCAGTTACTTTAAAATAGATTATAACTGAGTTATTTTAATTGTTCAGTATCTTTTATGCTTAATGTCTTAATTGACTGTGAATTAATTGTTGTCTTAATATGTTTTCTCCTGGCTTTGTACTAATTTTATTCTTTGCTCTAACAAGTAGATTTGATGGCACATACACAAGCAGGTTAAGGAATAACTGCTACAACAGTAATTAGTCATTTTCTGTCTATTAACATACAATCAGTTTCCTTTTTTGTGATATTTGGAATTTGCCATGTCTAACATCTTCTAATTCTTAAAAGTATCCATGGCACATAGGCATGAGGCTTCTATGTACTCTATAAATCATTGATCTCTCTCATTCCTTATTACTGAGCCATATTTTCTAATATTTTCCTCAATCCTCACCTAGTCACTGAAGTCACTAAATATAAAAATATGTGTGGTACTTAACCTATTGGGTTTTTCAAGTTCCTTGTGGAACTTACCCACCTCTTCATTCTCTGCAACAAACATTGGTACATAAGCTGCAACTATTTTCATGATGGTTTTCTTTCAAATATTTATCAAAAGCAATAAAAGATGAGAGATGACCAAACATTCCATTATGTTTCCTGTCCTTTGATGCAGTGATAAAAACCACTGTAAAGTCTTTGTTTGCCCCTCCAAAGAGAACCCATGAGGCAGACACATCAGAGTATTTGCAACCACACATGTCTAGGTATTTGCAACTTCTTTTTTTCTGGATCAATTTATAGTAAGAATGTCAAGACTGACACAATCAGCTCTTCCATCATTATATGCCACTGAATTATCAACAGTTAAGTTAAAGGTCTAATAACCATGTCATTCCTAGCACCCTCATCTTCTTTCATTGTATTCTGCCACTATCACTGCAAAAGAGGACACATATGACCAAGCAGCATTTTAAAATTTTTCATATGTTTTAAGCGTTGCCAAGGCCAAAGAGCTCATCATCACGTAAGCAGTATACTAATGACAAGCCTCGCTGTATTTGATGATGCCAGTCCTCATAAAGCAGACAGCCTGCTGCTGGGATTATATTCAAAACTTTGTTAGCACACAATTCCCTGTCATGGCTGTAGACAACCCAGGGATATTCCCACACCATAACAAGGCGCTGGAGCAGGACTTTGGTATATATTTATATTAGGTTCATCAAAAAAGGAGAGGGAGAGAAAAGAAAAAAAAAAGAAAACAAAAATCAAAAACAAACTATCAAAATGCTAACGAAATTATTACACATTTAGATGATAAATATGTATGTGTATGTATGAGTATATACGGATACACACACAAATTTATGCAATATAGTGAAAACCCCAACATGCCCTCACTTTAGCAAGTTCATTCAGTCCAGTATCGAGGGAAAGCGTTCTGCAAAGTGTCTCATCAGTTATTAAGTGAAACTTTAAACACACAGTGCTATTTGGCTTAATGGGAAAGACTCTTAATCTGGTCCCATCCACAGATAAATGTTTTGAAATATTTTCTTGGAAAAAAATTTAACAAACTAGTAAATATATAGAAAATGAAGTGATTAGATTTTTGAAAATAAAAATTAGCATTTTTAAATTTATTGCAAAAAATAACAAGTACTAATAAATGATCATATAAACCATAAATGTTATGATTATTTCAAAGCTATGACTAGGAGGTGAATTATTAACCCAAGAACTGAGAAGATCGCAAAAGATAAAACAGGTCATTTCAATTACATGAAATTGGAGCAGCTAGGTGGCTCAGTGGATAGAGTAATGGCACTGGACTCAGGAGGACCTGAGTTCAAATCTGGCCTCAAACACATAACACTCACTAGCTGTGTGACTCTAGGCAAGTCACTTAACCCCAATTGCCTCACATAAGAAAAAAAAAAAGAAGAACATCTAACTCAATTACATGAAATTTAAAAGCATCTTTGACTTCTTTGTAGCATTTGACACTGTTGATCACTATCTCTTCCTAGATACTCTCTTCTACCTAGGTTTTTAAGACAATGGGCTCCTTGAGGGCAAGAACCATTTTTTTCTTTCTTTCTCTGATATCTAATTACAATATAATCTTTCACAAAGGACTACAAAGACAAAAAGGGCCTTATTTGTTCTGTGTGGTCCAAGGGTATTACAAGGAACAATGGGGAGAAGTTGCAAACAGCCAGATTAGGATCAATATAATGAAAAATTTCCTAACAAGAGCTATTCAAAAGTGGACTGGACTACCTGAGAAGATAGCAAGTTCCCTCTCATGAGAAGACTGAAATCAAAGGCCAGAGGTGCATTTTTCTGCTATGTTGTAGGAGGTCTCTTGTTCAAGTGTGAGCTGGACTTGTCAATGCCTTCTTAAGTATCATTCAATTCTGAAATCCTGTTATTCTATGACCTCAGGACTTAAGATGATCATCTGGTCCAACCTCCTCACTTTCCAGATGAGAATACTCGCGGCCCAGAGAGATGAAGTCACTTTTTCCAGGTCATAAGCTACTAAGTCGCTGATCCAGAATGTGAACCTGGATTTTCTGACTCTAGATTCTGTGTCTTCTTGTCATGGCACACACCATGGCCAGAGTCTGCACTGATTTTTGTTTCTCTATATGTCTGTGTTTTATCCACAACTGAGGTGACAACATGCCATTCTAGTTCTGACTCACTTTTATGATTCTGAATATGTCAATTCCCTCTCTGGGACTCAACATATTCACAATGAAGCAAAAAGACTAGATATTTTCCACAGTCTTTTGCTATTCTAGAATTCAACAATTTATGATCAGTATGTACACACTATTTTGTCTTGTTTTTCTCAAGGTAAGTAGTTCCAGGAAAATGGTTCATGGTAAATTTCCCTACTTAATAGAAAACAGATAGCTGTATGACCCTGGGCAAGTCACTTAACTTCGACTGCCTCACCAAAAAGCAAAGAAAATATAATCATTTGATGGGGGCAAATTTTCTTTACCAAATATGTGACCAAAAATTAGGATTCGTTTGATTCCCAGCTAAGCCACCACCTCAGAAATTGGCTCAGCCACAAACTCACCATTATCAAAATCGATGTATTTGGTGATCTTATGCCAGGTACGGTAGTAAAAATGCCGGACCTGTTCTTTGTTTTTCACCATGCTTGCAGGTTTGCCTTTCTTCTTATACTTCAGGGCAATGTTGTTCTGAATCGCTTCAAAGTCTTTCCCATGCTGGAAGATAAAGGCCAAGTTAAAAATGCAAGAGATAAAAACAATGCTACTTCCTGTGTCAAACTGACTCTTTCTAATTCTTACTTATCTAGCAGGAAAAAGAGGGACAGAGGACACTAAAGGAATGTAAACTATTCTTTATAATTATGCTCATGTACTGATTTTCTTTTCAATAAAATCTGATGAAGGACCAAAAGAAAATTATTATACATTACATGATGAGCACAAAGGAATGAACCTGGGAAGAGAAATTTAAATTTTATCATGGTATCCCAGTTAAAAAGTGCCATTAAGAACAAGAGGTCACAGATATGCCAGAAGGCAGTACAAGACCCTGATGCTCAAAGTAATGCACATTTGTAATCTTAGCAGAACAACACAGATGTTTATATGTATTTCATAATCTCAAGAAAAACACCCCACCTTCAGAAAGAGGATGCAGTATGTACTGAGTGTTCTATGCCTTTACTTTAATCATCACTAAGTATTAAATATGACATTTTAATAGAAAAATTCCAAATACGTCAACTGTAATCTATGAGAATCCTTAAAGGAACAATTCTACATTTAATTCTCTCACTAGTACCTGTGCCCTCCTTCTCTTTAATGCTTCTGTGCAAAAGCTAAATGTAAGCTTTTTAAGACATTTTTAGAAGAGACAACATATTCACAGATACTATGTGAAAAAAACCAGCTGCTAAACAATCTTAGTACCAAAAAAAGTTGCTGATAAGTTTCAGACAAAACACAAAAAGGAATGGTTGACACAAGAGAAAAACAGAGGGAAGTGACAATGTGCTTGTTAGTGATGTGATGAATGAAGAAGTATGGTGTTTATAATTTGAATGTAGAAAGTGAGAAGTGAGTTGCAAAAGATAACATTGAGGTTGAATGGGGAGAGACAAAAGAGAAGTAATAATACAGATTAATGACCATAATTAAATGTATTATGTGTGTAGTCATCACCAGCTATGGAGAGAAATGAAGGATGGAAAAAGCAGTGATGAGTACTGAAGGTAAGACTCAAGAACTGAAAAGCAATGGAAAAATCAGAGAACAGGAAAAAGGTGTTAAAACAGTAAAATGATAAATCCCGTAAGAAAATGAAAAGGCAGAAGTAGGCAAAGAGGAAGACGTAAGAAGATATAATCAAAGCATAAGCAGAGATTGTAGCAAAGAGGAAAGAGCTTCAGTTGTTATTGTTAAAAAGGAAAATAATTACATAGATGTTGTTTCTAAAAAGCTAAGATATTTAGAAACATCTTTTCTTGTCTTTATTATCGCCACAGAAGGAGAATTTCTAAATTACATAGACTGCAACTGGTCAGTTCCACATTGATCACAACCTACATCCTAGTCACCATTCTGCTTCAACTACTGCCAAGATAGATGAAATTAACAATGTAAGATGTAACAAATAAAAGAATTATTTTGAGTATACTTTTATCAATGATAGCTAACATCAAATGATTAGTAGAGTTAAGCATAACCATATATAAAATAGCATGTTATAGTAGAGAGAAGGCCCACATGAAAAGTAAGAGAGGCAGAGACTCAAGTATTGCCTCAGACACTTAGCTGTAGGCAAGCACCGTCTAGTACACTAGGCAACCTGAAGACCCTATGTAACAAAGAAGTTGCCCATTTGCATAAGTGAAGTGAATTTCTACACTAAAAGTTCCCTACATTGATGAATCCATAGGTTGAGACCAAAAAGAAAAGAAAGAAAAAAAGATACCTAAACTATAAATGGAATAGTTAGCAGGAAAGTATTAATCAAACATTAACGGATCAGAGATTCAGAGTTTAAAGGAATCGTAGAGTTCATCTAGTCCAACCCCCTCCTTTTACAGCTGAAGAAGTTAAGAGCCAAAGCTCTTACTCAAGTGACTTGCCCAAAGTCATGGTGGTGAAAGAAAGCAAAGTTGTGACTTTAGCCCAGACTCCCAATAGAGCATTCTCTCCACTGCTCTCTTAATGAGAACCTTTCTGTAACATCTCAAGCACCTCCAAGGGAAAGGGAAAGACTTTTGACAACTAAGCAAAACTAATTTCAGTGAGATAAATTACTGAAAGAGTAGTTTTTCTCTCAATTGCTACACTCAAACCAATAATGAAGCCCACTATTAGAAAAACCTAAACTAGGGTGATAAGAAATCTCACAATCCTCCCTAAAAACTAGTCTAAAGAGACAGTAAAAGATACTTAAAAATAATATAACAAGAAAACTCCTACACCAGACAAGACAATTTATACTTAGATTGAAAGTCTGTACTGGAGAAAGGACAATCTAATAAGAAGCACAATTTCTAACTGCACTTTATTTCAGAGGTCTTACATGGGAAAACTAAAGGAACACACAAGTTCATTAAGGAACTGCTTTACAGAGTGGTAAATACAAAACAACTACATTCTAACCAGGACAACTCTGCCTCTGTATTGTTACAATACGCTAAACCAATTCATTCTTATTACATGAGGATAAGAGCTCTATCCAAACTAATTTATTGGTCATCAACCTCAGAGAAAGAATGCTGTCAGTTAATGTGCTAACATGACTCCAGGATGTTTAACCTATATTTGGAAATATCCTCTTTTCTATTCTGATCAGAGTCCTATACCTCTACCTTAGACCTCCCAACACCTAGGCTTTAGCAATAAATCATCCCACACTTTAGGCTACTATAAAAGAAACACAAAGAAGTACTCAAGACCAGATCCCAACCTTAATAGCATGAAATAAGAAAACTAAACAAGTTTAGAAACAGCTGTTTCATGCTTTGTATATTGCAGGTGACTGATGACATTCAATAGCCGCTTTCAGGATCTCTGTTACTTACCTAGTGGTATGAAAAAACCTTGCTCGTTAGCACAGGCATGTGGCCAAAGTGCCACAAGAAAAGTGACAGAAAAGAAGTAGGGACAAACTGACCCACAGACCAACAGAATGGATGTGAGGGAAAGTTAACACTGTGTTTTCTTGAATCAGTCCATCACCCACCTCATACAGTCCCTCAAAGAAAGTGTTCTTATCCTCGGTGCTCCATGACTCCCACTGGCGCCGGACCTTTTTACCTTCTTCCTTCTCTCCACTCGAGGAGCCCAGGCTCCTGCTAGATGATTTAGAGCTTCCAGAAGGCGCGCTGGCAGCAGTGATTCCTGACACACTGCTGGAAGATGGCCCTCCATTGTCTGCCCCTGGGGGAAGGAAACAAAGTATGACAGGTTAATACCCTGGCATTCATGAATCTCAGCAAATGAAATTATCCTGTGTAACAACCATCAGAGGGCTCAACAGAGCTCGTGAGGCTATAACCAAACAAAAAGTATCTACTGAGCATCTGTGGTAGTTATTGCATTAATTTATTTAATGATTCCAAAAAATTCTTCAGATAGTGATGAGTTAAAGACATAAATAAACGAAAATTAAGTAATTTAAGAAGCAGTAATATAGTGGATGGAGCACCGGCCCTGAAGTCAGGAGGACCTGAGTTCAAATACATCCTACCATCGTTAAGGGCACCACCATATTCCCAGTCACCTAGGTTCACAATCTCAGTATCATCCTTGCTTCTTCACTCCAGTAACACAGCTACCATTTTAGTTCAGACCCTCCTCACCTCTTGCCTGAATTATTGCAACAGGCTTCTAATTGGTCTTCATTCCTCTTTGTCTCTCCATTCAACAGACAAACTTATCTTCCTGAAAGACAGTTCTGACCATAATCTCTTTCTCTCTACCACTTAGAGTATCTGTGTTGATGGTTGTACCTCAACCTAATGGTTTAAATGAAGAATGATGTCTACATTAGGGAGGCTGATAGTCCAATATAGCATTTTTACTGAACTATTAAAAGTACCAAACATACTGGATATGAGCCAACTAGCTGTAAGTATAGTGCCAATGAAATCGCTATATATGCATATTGTGTGTGCATGTGTGTGTGTGTATGTGTGTGTGTGTGTGTGTGTGTGTGTGTGTGTGTGTGTGTACGTATATTGGCAATCTAGCCAATGAAAACTAGAATAAAATGGTAGATATAAAGGACTGTGGTTCAGTGCGTTGACTCTTAAAAATAAATCTGTGACTTAATTCATTAAATTTTTTTAAGCGTTTGAATGCTAAATGGATTGTTTTTAAAAAATGCCAATATCTATGGAAATCAGGAAATGAAAACTATGAATTCCCATGTTTTTCCATATTTCAAATAAAATGTGTATTAACATCCATCATAACATTTATCCACATGTTTAAACTCACATTTGTAATGAAATAGTTAAATGTGTTTGAAAAGTTATATAAATTCTATTAATATTTCACAAATGAATCATTTTATCCTTAGACAAAGATCTGATACTCTGGATTCTATTTTTCACTTTCAAAACAAAAAATTCCATTTCAGCATCTGAGGTGGAGAGATGTAACTTTTCAAATTCTGAACCTTTTCAATTCCTAGAGTTTTTAGAGTGATATTAGAAAGATGTTAAGAATGAACAAAAATATTAAATACTTAACTACCCTTTCGACACCCTGAATTGGATGTCAAACTCAACATGACCATAACAGAACTATCTTTTTCTCCAAACCTTTCCCTCTTCCTAATTTTCCTATTATTGTTAAGGGCACCACCATATTCCCAGTCACCTAGGCTCACAATCTCAGTATCATCCTTGCTTCTTCACTCCAGTAACACAGCTACTATTTTAGTTCAAACCCTCCTCACTCTTGCCTGGATTACTGCAACAGGCTTCTAATTGGTCTTCATTACTCTTTGTCTCTCCATTCAATGGACAAACTTACCTTCCTGAAGACAGTTCTGACCATAATCTCTCTCTCTCTCTCTATCACTTAGTAAACTCTAGTGGCTTCCTATTATTTTAGTATCAAACAGAACACCCTCCACATGACACTGAGCCCTTCACAACGGGCTCCCCTTCCTACCTTTTTCCTACCTAATTTCTTTCCAAACCTTCTCTGTTCCAGCAACACTGACATCCCATCTCCAATCTCCATGCCTTTGGACTCACTAGCTGCTCCTCAAACCTGCAATGTTCTACCTCCTCATATCCACAGCTTCCTTTTAACTAGGCTCAAATTCTGCAAGTGGCTTTTTCTGGTCCTTCTTGCTACTAGAACCTTCTCTCTGAGATTACCTTCCATTTAATTGTCACTGTACTTCCTGTTATAGAGATGGTTATTTGCATGTTGCCTCCCCCATTAGGTTCTGAACTCCTTGAGAGCAAGGACTGTTTTTGTCTTCTTTTGTACCCCAGTTAAATGCTTAATAAATGCCTGTCGGCTAAATGACTAAGTGCTGGGGATACAAATACAATAGTGAGAAAGTCCTTGCCTCCAAAGGAAAAGAGAAAGTCTAAGGAGAGAGGCAGTTTTCTCCTTAAAAAAAAATTTATAGTAGAGGAACATGATGTAATGGATAGAAAGAAGCTTCAAAGTCCAGAAAATATGAGTTCAACTTATTCCACAGGCACATACTGGTTATGTGACCCTAAGTCATGCACTAAATGTTTAAATGTTTAAAAATGCTTTACCTACTTATCTACCTAACTTCTCAGTGCTTCCTACAACTCTCTATGACTGAAAGTTACAGAGCAATTGCAGACCTGCACTGGTAAAGAAGGGTTTCCACAGTGGAAATGAGTGACATTATAATTATATTATAGAAATTATAAGTCCAGAACAACACAGAGTTCAGTTAAAAGGGGAAGTGGGAGTGGAAAAAATCATTTATCTACAAAACTAAAGGAAGTAAATAAACACTGACGCTCCTATAAGGTCCTTAATTGCCTACCCCTTATTTTCTCTGACCATACAGTATCAATACAACATCAAGGAACTTTACAAAGTAAAATAATTCTAATTATTTAATAGGCAGTCAAAGAAGACCCCCTCATAAAGATGAACATTTTCTTTCCTCAAATGACCAAGAACAGAACCAAACTTAGAATCCACTCTTGAGGAGAAAAGGTGGTTGACTAGAATGCTGGACTGAGAGGTCAGAAAATCTTTTTCTGAAACCTTGCCTCAGACACTTACAAGTTATATGGCCCTGGGCAAGTTGTTTCACCTCAAATTTCTTCATCTACAAAACACAGACAATAACAGCACCTAATGGCTGGGCATACTCTGAGGATAGAATGAGATATTTATTAGTGTTCTTGGGCCACAGGTTATGGAAAATGTAATCATTTTCCTTGCAAAGTTCTAACACAACACCCATAATGGTTGGTCCAATTTATATCTCTACCAACAGTTCATTAATTTACCACAGCTCCTCCTGTTTACTATACTATTGTCTTTTAGTTATCTTTGCCAATTTACAGAGTATAAGGTGAAACTCAAGGGTTCTTTTAATTTTTATTTCTCTTACTATTAATGATTTGGTTCATATTTTCAGATGGGCATTTATGTAATTCTTCCTTTGAAAACTTTGTCCTCTGTCTACTTACCTATTGGGAAATGAGCCTTGTTATATGTGTATTAATTCCCTATATAACCTCTATATCAGATATATTACTGATAATTGATACAAATAGTAGTTTCTCTTTTCTCCTTTTGTTCTACCTTAATTCATTTTGATGATGCAAATTTTTAATTTTATGTAATCAAATCATCAATTTTATCTTTTGTGACCTCCTCTATGTTCTACCTAATTTTTACAAATAGCATTGGGCCTCTGTCCTCTATTCAGCTGCCAAAACATTCTCTACAGAGATGTGTTCCTGATTATTAGGATCAAAAGCTACTCATAAGTAATGTCACACTCATTAATAGTTTTTCCTTTATCTGTACTTCATAAGCCGATGTAGGGAATTGGATCCAACAAGCCAGGGTCATCAAATCAACTCATACTTACAGGATGAAACAAGGACAAGATTTCTCAAAAGATAACACTATGGTGAACCTATTACATGCAAATCTAGCTAATGCTGTAATTGGTTTCAACATTTCAGTCGAAGGGATCAGACAGTAGTAATAAGTAAGGAAGAAAACTATTCAAACTTCTGATGACCTCAAACAATCAAACTAGTTTAAGGAAGGAAAAGGGAATTCATTATGTTGAGCACCAAAAGAATTATTGCTAAAAGAAAAAAAAACCAAATGTATCACTTGAATGTTTTTATGCTGTTGATTCATTTCGAAGATTTAGTAAGTGCTTAAAGACACTGGGCATTTAAATTATACTAATTATCAGGAATATCTAGAAGTTCTGAGTTCGAAGGGACCTTAGTGGCCACCTCATTCAATAGATATGAAAAAAAAATTCCTTACACACCCTGAAGACTCTCAGTAACTAGGAAGCCAACCTCCTGAGTCAATTGGACAGTTTTTATTTTTAAAAAAGCTTTTTTTAACCTGGAAAGACTTGTATGGTCTGATGCTGAGTGAAGTGAGCACAACCAAGAGAACTTTGTATACAATAACAGCCACGCTGTGCGATGACTAATATTGATAAACTTAACCCTTTTCAGCATTACAAGGATCTAAGCCATCTGCAGAGGCCTCGTGATGGAAAATGCTATTCACATCCAAAGAAAGAACTATGGAAGCTGAATCGCTATCATTTTTTTTTCTCTTCTGTTGAGTTTTGTTTCCTCTTTCTGATGGTTCCTCCTATTGGTTTTAATTTTTACTTACAACTTCACTAATGTTAAAATATGTTTAATAGGAATGTAAATATCAAATTGTGCACCATCTTGGGGAGGGTGGTAGGGAGGAAGGGGGAGAAAAATTTTAAACTCAAAAGCATATGGAAATGATTGTTGATAAATCAAAATAAACTAATAAAAAATTTTTTTTAAAAATTTTTAAAAGCTTTTCTTATTAGATTTTGCGCTGTCTTGGGGAGGGAGTGGGAGAAAAATTTTAAACTCAAAAGCTTATAGAAGTGATTGTTGATAAATGAAAATAAATTAATACAGAAACTCTTCTTGACATCAGACCTAAATCAGTCTCTTTGCAACTTACATTCATTACTCTTTTGCCAAAAAGCACACATCTCTGCTCTCTGCCAGGTGACACAGCCAGGTACCTAAAAGACTATAATGTCCCCTCTAAGTACATTCTTCTCTGGGTTAAACGTCTCAAATTCTCTGAACTGATCTTCACATGAGAATAACTGCATGCCTTTCACCACATAGTTGCCCTCCTCTAGATGCTTTCCAGGTTTATCAATGTCT